CAGCCTGATCTCTTATAGAATCCAGGATCACAAGCCCAGAGATGGCACCACACACCATGGCCTTGACCTTCCCTACACTGATCACTACTTGAGAAAATGCCTTACGACTGAATCTCATGAAGGCATTTTCTCAGCTAAGGTGCCTTTCTCTCTGATAACTCCAACTTGTGTCAAGTTGACACACAAAACCCGCCAGTACAGTGAGCTTAAGCTTCAAGTCTCAGAGAGAGACCCTGTCTCAAAAAAAAAATGAAACAGAGTTACCAAGAAAGACTGACCTCTGCATGCGAGTGTTCTCTCTCTCTCTCTCTCTCTCTCTCTCTCTCTCTCCACACACACACACACACACACACACACACACACACACACATTGTGTGTAAAACAGAAAAAATGTTAAATGTTAGATGCATTTTGATTTGGGATTAGATCAGGACAGAATTTCTAAAATGACTCTAAACACAATTCTGCAATTTTATAATACATGTTTATGTGAAGCAGTGTTCTCAATATCTGTAGTTATAACATCGCAATGTTAATCAACTCTGGAAAACATTGAAGATACTCTTATGTTCTGCAGTTCCAAATCTTCACCCAAATCAATTCTTTTTTAAATTAATTAATTAATTTTACATCCTGGCAGCAGTTTCTCCTTCCAGTTCCTCCCTGCCCCAGTCTACTGCTCTGTTTCCACTCTCCAATCCACTCCTCTGTTTTTGTCTAGAAAAGGGCAGGTCTTCCATGAATATCAACAAAACATAGCATATCAATCTAAATTAATTCTTTATAGAAAATAAATAAGTACATGCATCTCAGTATAAAAATTCCCTTTAGTCCTAATTAAATAGTAAAATTACATGTATACCAAATAATCATGTTAAAATAAATTTATTTATAATTGGTGTTTCTTTATATGTTCATGAAAGTTCTAATGTTAAAAAGTGTATTTATTGTTATTGCATGTATATAATTTGTGGTTGTACACGTTATGGTGATGTGTTAGAAGACAACTTTGTGGAATCTGTTATTTCCATCTTTATATGGATTTAGAAAATGAACTTCGGTTATCAGATGTGCCAAGCACTTTCACCAGCTAAGCCCTCTCACCAATTTGAATTGTAGCTTTTCAAAGTACACCTTTGCAGGAGAACAACACTCTAAATTTAAGCTCAAAGTCTGTGTCAGCATGTGTGGTTTTCTCTACAGATTTCGGTGCAAGGTCATACCCTATCTAGGTAGAACACAAAAACTGTAGGTTGAACTGGATTCTGTTATATTCTAGCTCCCACAACCATGGTTGCAATAGAAACACAGATCTCTGAATGTTTCTTCTGCCATCCAACTGAAGGAGGCAGAAAATCTACTGCAAAGTTAACTGAAAAATAAAGAGAAGAAATGACAAGGATAAAGTCCACATGGAAGAAAGCCTCTGCAGTGTGCACCAGCTCTTCCTGACTCTTAGAGAAAAAAACTGGTTACCATGTAGGGTTGGTAGCTTAGGGAGACACAAGGGGCACTTGCTAGGGTCAGGGTCTTAGACAATCCTTCCCTTGTTGACTCCATGGCTCATCCTTGGACTCAGTTGCTTCATGAGTATCCTCGTTTTGTATTTCTTGCAGGTAGAATGTAATACAGGTTGGCTCCTGTACCAAGATGCAAGGTTTCCAAGGCTCTGCCTACACCTCTACCTGAGTGGCCAAATAGTTATTTCTGTGTGGGAGTATAGAAGTGAAATGATTATTTTTGTTTGTTTGTTTGTTTCAAGACAGGGTTTTTCTGTAGCTTTGGAGCCTGTCCTGGAACTAGTTTTTATAGACCAGGCTGACTTTAAACTCACAGAGATCTGCCTGCTTCTACCTCCCGAGTGCTGGGATTAAAGGCATTTGCGTCCACCGCCCGGCTTACAAGTGAAATTTTAAAAGAATTATGACATTTGATGTTTCCTGAATAAAGTGATTATGGCATTGATAAGGAAGAAAGGGAAGTAAGTCCATCTAACTGGGGAATACAGGTATTTTGCCTAATTTTTTTCGTTAAAAAAAATTGAGAAACTTTTAAAACACAACTCAGCCATCCTAGACAGGGAAAAGTATGGGAAGACAGCCAACTAGGTCCATAAGGCATAGACAGTCCTGGAAGCCAATGCTGATAGATACAACTTAAATGAACATTTTTAATGCACCCTCCCCTGTGACAAGTAGCGAAACATACCAAAAAAACTAATGTAGATCAAGCCACCTATTTGATGAACAAGTAATGTATAGTAACAGAAGAAAATGACAAACCATCTAGAGTACACATAAGGAGGAAACACTAGGAAATTGTCCAACTCTGATAAATTAACAAAAAGTAGCAATAACAAATCCTCTAATTTTTCATTTTTATTTATTTAATATAAATAAATATATTTATATATTTTATAAATTTAATTATCTCAAAGCACTGTTTGTTAAACCTAGCTTTGACCTATGGCTTGGGATGGCTTCTTCTTTAGGCGTTTGTTGTCTGTTGTGAGCTTGGGTATGTGTCAGGATTTCCTGTCTGGTTCATTGATCTGTTCAAATCCCAGAACCAGTCTGAAAGAGACTGTGTGGTATGTTTCATACTGAGTGATGCAATCTCTTGTTTTGGTTATGTTTTTATGGTGTTAGGGTGCTTATTACATGGAAGTTGCTAGTACTGTGACATGTTTGAGAGTTCACCTGGAGGAGGGGAATCCTTAGGAGCCTGAACTTTTTTATGAGTCATGGATGGATACTTTCCCACTTCAGATACTGTGGTGGTTTGAGTGAGGATGGCCCACATAGGTTCATATATTTGAATGCTAGTTTCCTAGCTGGTTGTACTGCTTGGGGAAAGATTAGGATATGTTAGATGAGGTATGCCACTGGGAGCCGACCTTGAGGTTTCAAAAGCCTAGGCCATTCCTAGCTGGTTCTCTCTCTCTCTCTCTCTCTCTCTCTCTCTCTCTCTCTCTCTCTCT